CTGTACATCCCTCTAGTTCTTCTATGTGGGGTGCTGCCACAGCACGGCTTGATGAGCGGTGTGTAGGTCCACACCCAGGATCCGAACCAGCAAACCCCAGGCCTCTGAAGTGGAGAGCGTGAACTCAACCACCCGGCCACGGGGACAGCCCCCCAGTAACTACTTTTTTCAACTATTCACCTTTTTTCTTTCTTCCTGAGAAACAATGGATGTCACCTTGCCTATTTTTTTGATGACTCAAACCGACCAAAAAATGCTCAGTCATTGTAAATTTAGACATATGTGGTGAGTCCTTTTACCTACAACGTACTGGTCCTGATTGTTGAAACATTAAAACCGAAAAAGCAAAACAAAATACTGCTGACATGCGCACTGTTGACGGGGCTCTTTGCCAGGCTCACTCTTACTTCACTCGCCTTATCAGAAATGTATGTGTTAACTGTTAGATATAGAGTTGAACGGGGTGCTTTCATCTTGGACCCAATCCAAGAAAGTTTAATTACAGAAGAGGTCAAGCAGTGCTGTCCAGCAGGAGGAAAAACCCAAGACAAAATTAGACTTGACGGTAACAATACAAATGATAGAAATCACATCTAATATTTCCCAAGGGCTTTCTCTTGTGGGCACCATGCTAAGGGCTTTGTACCAATTACTTCATTGAATTCGCACAACCCCAGGCAGTAAATAATATTGTGGTATCCTAAAGTCACCCAGCTAGCAAGGGGAGGAGCTGTTATCTGAAAACAGCAGTGCGGTTCCAGGACCCAGCTCTGGCCCACTGCTTACAAATGGCTTCCTTCAACAAGGGACAAGTTCTGTCAGCAGCCCTGACACCCAACGGTGGATGGATCTTGAAGGATTGCTCACCTAATCTTTATGCGCCTCAGTTTTCTCATCTGCAAAATGAGGGATTTGACCCATACAAACTTAAAAGGCATTCTCTTCTAAAAGGCTGTCTTGCTGAATGCATCCAACGGTCAGAGTAATGGAGAAGTATTATGACAAAGTGTCATTCCTAAAGGTTCACATGGGAATTCATTAGAAAACATGTTCACTATTTCGAATCCCTAACACAGAATTTGGAAGTGTGTCTAGTGAGTCAATGGAGTGAATTTGTATATGAATATGTGAAGAATAGGAATCATAGTTAGGGAAATGAAGACAGCCTTGAAATATCGATTAATGACATGTAAAAGGCACTGAGTAACAGCTGTAATCAATATGTCTTGTTTATAAATGCATTATCATTTGATTACTTCTTAAATATGCCACTATAAGATACAGGCTTTGAAATATTTCTAAAAATTGTTTTAAAAATGTTAAAATGGGGGCCAGCCCGGTGGCGTAGCAGTTTGGTTCACTCGCTCTGCTTTGGCGGCCCAGGGTTCACCGGTTCGGCTCCCAGACACGGACCTATGCACCACTCATCAAGCCATGCTGTGGCAGGCACCCCACGTATAAAGCAGAGGAAGATGGGCACAGACGTTAGCTCAGGGTCAATCTTCCTTAGCAAAAAGAGGAGGATTGGTGATGGATGTTAGCTCATGGCAATGTTCCTCAGTAAAAAAGAGGAGGATTGGTGGCAGATGTTAGCTCAGGGCAAATCTTCCTCAAAAAAGAAAAAAAGTTAAAATGTTGTATTTCTATTGAAATTACATCTTAATACATAATTATTAATGATGTTACAATCCCTATGATAATTCTCTATTTACAGACTCAAAAGGAATTCAAATGAGAATAGAAAATTTCCTGTATATAAGGAAATTATATACAGAAATATCTTGCCTTCTAGAATAGATTTCTCCCTAAAGTTGATTTTTAACTATTTGTAAATTAAATCATAGTCTCCTATTAACTTCCAATATAAGTTCAGCGATGATTTAGCTGTTTCCTGTAGCTTTACAAGGTACATAACTTCTAATCTACTTAGCTAAAAATTTCTCTCCTTCTATTCCTACCAATGTTAGCCTCTCTATCAAGTAGGTAAGGCAGACTTTTAAAAAATGGAATGTACTAAAAAAATTCTGCAATTTCTTCTAATTCTGTATCCTAATATACCTGGCTTGTCGAGGCTGCACCTGTATATAACACATACACATCGCAGTACCTAATTTTCTACATTCAGTGTAGGTGCCATTTAAAAAAAATCACCTTGATGGCATGGGGGAAAGCATCTAGATTTTAAAGACAGACAAGGTTTTGAATCTTTGTTCCACCCTGTACTTGCTCTGCGGCCAAAGCACGGAAGTGCTATATAAGCTTGCTTCTTCATCTGAAAACAGCTTTAGTATTCAACCAGAACAGCAATGATGAAGGAAACACAAACTATCTTTGGCCGTTAATGGTGAACTGTATTCTATAGGGTTTGTTTTTTTAATAGAAAACTACTTAAAATAAGGTCAGTAAAGCATCTTTAATACTAGTGAGTGGATACCAGGAACTTTTTAAAAAAAATACTCTTAATAAAACAGCAATTGTTAAAATGTAATTTCACCTTTTACATATGCTCGACTAGCCAGGAATATTTTTCCTTTGAAAGTTTATTCTGTATAAGTCAAATACTTTTAGTGATAGATTGTCTTTAAACTGAAAGTGACTAAAATGTTTTAAATATATTTAAAATAACTGCATACTATAAATGAAGAAATTAAGAACAAGAGAGACTCACAGAGCAATACCTCTGTAAAATTTTACCTGTGTAAAATTGCAAGTGAGGGCTTTCCAGCTGCATCAAAATTTTCCTTGGTTGCCACTACATGGCCTCCTCCGTGCTGAATGAGAAACCAAACACATTCATGGTGCTGGACAGGATGCGGGCATGCCCCACAGCAACAAACATCCTCCTCCAGCGAGCCCTACCAAATCTGTTCGTATTGCTACAATCTTTACTATACATTACCTTTAAAATAGTGGCTCTCCTGGCAGCCATAAAAGATGACTCAAATGGAAAGCAGCTTCTGGAGAAGTTATCTAACAGAACATCCGCTCAGAACAATCTACCATCAAAGGGCAACCTTTGCAGAAAGTGAAACTGATTTGACCACTTCCTTTCCTTTTCCAGTGGGCAGTGCTGTTTTCGGGTCTGGTAGTAAAAGTAGAAGGTTTAAACCTCTGACATTCTATTTCAGTAATGACATGAGTGCACACACTCAAGGAAGGCAGGATTAGCAGTGTAGTGTACAATTAGGCAAAAGTTAGGCACCATAACAGGAGGTCTCCTCTGTACAAGCATCTTTTGAAATTAAGTATTTTTGTCATTTGAGATGACACATGAACATCCACAGGTATCTCCTTAAGACATGCTGGAATGTTTGAGACTGCAGACATGATGCATGTTGCAAGCAGAAATACGTGCTGCATGCTAAAATATATGCCCACCTCCACTGACAGCGTACCGTCTAACATTACCAGTGATGGTGTTCATAATTACACATGTAAACACGCATCCTTGAGTGTAGACACAGACCTTTCCTTCCTGAAGCAACATTTAGAGATCCCAGTTTAAATAAACCCCCAAGGTTCTGCAAGCAGCCCATTTGGGAAGCAATTCAGGCAACACAGTGATTCATTTAATAAATATTTTAGCCAGCATCTCACGCTCTATCACATCATATGGTAAAAGTCTGGCTTTGGATCATCCCATTAATCCATTTATATTCCATAAGTGTCATCAGCTTATATAGTAACCACAGGACCAAACACATGTCAGCGGGTGTGTGCTTCTCATAAATGGATATCCTCCCCCAAACCTAACAGGAGCAGCCTTAGCTGTTTTGCGAGCCTGCCTGCCTCCAGTACAGCCGGTTTTCCGTAAGATGCCTAGTTCCACTCTGCACAGCGTCTCTTGTAGTTTAATCAAAGAAAAGTATAATTACACTAGCAAGACTCTAATTTTGAAAAGACATTAGCCAAGCCACAGTCACTTCATTACTCTGCACTTCAGAGGCAGAACAATCAACGGGGGAGGGATCCTAAGTAATATTTGCTCTTCCAAAAGGGAACCAGCGAAACCTGCCTGGTGGATAGGAAAATCTGCCTGCCCAAGCAGGTGTGAGTGTCAAGCGAGGCGAGGAGCTTCAGGCCGGCCAGTGGCTAATGCTTTCCCTGCAAAATCCGCTGCCTAAAACTTTTCCGCGACCTTCAGTGGCCCTCAGGAGTAGGCTCTGGGAGCTGCTTCGGATCGCCTGGAGGCTCCTGCGAAACGCACCGCCACACAGGCGCGTCCACATCTGCAGAGGCTTCTGCCTGGTCCGCGCCGAGCAGTCCTCGTTCTTGGCTCCTTCTGCCCAGACTCACTGGCAGCCTGGCACCCTTTCACCGCCCCACTTCAGAAGGGATTTGGGGGAGCGCTCTGGCTCGCACACGCACAGGCTCACCTGGAAAAAGCCGCGGCACGCCCCCTCCCCCACCTCCCACATTTTGGCCGTTAGGCATCATTCCAAAGGGGCCAGGCGCGGCACTCCAAAATCACGGCCATGTTTTACTCTAAACAGACATCATTCAACAACTCCACAAGTCTCCAGGGCGCTGGGCGCTGTAGCCGAGGCCAAACCACCTCTCCGAGGTGAACGCCCCTGAAGCCCACATCTGTAACGCAGCCCAGCAAAGCCTATAGCCCATCACAACGCAAGGATGGGAGTACAGCTAAGCAGCCCAGAAAGCAGGTGTAATAACCATGTTAAAGCTAGTAATGTTGCCCCAGACAAATCCCCGAAAACCCCACCTTCCCAAAGAAAATGTCAGAGTTGTCCCTTTAACTGTTTCAAACCCCTTATTTGGGGGAGCACATACATCAATGGTCTAGGTACGGATGCGGTCTGGGTTTGGCTCTGGGCGGCACTCTGCAAAGTGCCGGGCAGGCGGGTCACGCCTGCGAAGAGGGCGGATGTCCCCGCAGTTATCCAGGCAGAGACGCCGGCTGTGTCCCCACACTGGGGACTGACAGAGCGACCTCCTCGCCTCCCGCGCTCGCCGCCGCCCCGACGGGCCCCGGCACTCACCGTCCCGGGCGTCCTCCCCGCGACTGCAGTTGCTGCAAATGTGTTTGATCTCCTTGCCTAGTTGACAATGGATCACAAAGGATACGTTGTTGTTGTTGTTGGGGGCGGGCTCCTTCAGGGGCTTCATCCTCAGCAAATAAAAAGCTTTCTTTTTGGGTCTCTGGGCGCTCGCGCCTGGCACCGCGCCCTCCCTGCAGCGCGGCAAGCGGAGCGCAAACCTCCCCGGCTCCGCGGCGCGCGTGGGCTCCGCCATCCGGCCCCCGGGCGCCCCGGGCCGGCCGCTGCTCGGGCGCCCGCGCTGCCACTCGCGCCCAGCCGCCTGGCCAGCATGCCCCCGCCCCGCCCCGCCCCGCTCCCGCGTCTCTACAGCAACGCGACCACGGCGGGGCGGGTCAGGGGAAGGCGCCGAAAGGGTCTTGACCTCGTGGACCGAGCCAATCCGAGTCCCGCGGCCGGAGGAGGTTTTCCGGAAGGCGCTCCTCGGTCCTACCTGAGATGCTCCACTCCCACCTCTCTCGCGGCCTCACGTGCACATCCTCCCCTGGCAGCCCCACCCCTCCGTAAATCTCCGCTCCAGCAACTGAGCCTGCTGGGTTTGCAGCTACCTTCACTCTCTCTCGAGCTCAGGGCACAACGCCAGCCTCCCCCTCCCCCTTTTCTTTAAGCCTCAAGCGGCCAAATCTGAAAGCGAGACGTCCCACCCTGACGGCCGCTGCACTGGGAGCCCTCGGGGTGCAGGCACCTCTCGGAGGCCAGAATTATCATTCTCTAGTGGGTCCAACGCACAGCCCTTGACTTCTCCTGGAGCCGACAACCTGTTACAACATAATTGATGTTTTCACCCTCAATAGAAATTCCTCAGCCTGAAGGGGCTCTTACACCAGTGTCATTGAAACTTAGAGTAAAAAGGGACAGAAAAGGCTGCTTTTATCAATACTCAGAAACAACAACTCGCAACTTTGGGATCCCAGCTAATTTGGCTGAAGATTCCCCAGCTGTCTTAGCACAGCGAATAAGGCTTAGCAAAGCAATGGACATCTATGGAGATTTCCAAAGAAAGAACAGTGTCTTCAGTAAGGTACATCAATGGCTCAATAATAATAACAGCTACAAGTTATTGAGCCTTTTGTCTTCTGCGCTTTTTTAAAACATCACACAATGTCTACGCAATAATCCTGACTCAGATGTTGTGAATCCTACATCACTTTAAGAGAGCTAAGGCTTACAGAAGCCTCATACCACAATTGCTTTGGGTGCTTATTTAAAAAATAGAGACTTTGGGACCCCAAGCCCTGAGATTCTGGTTTAGTAGGTCAGTGTAGGGCCTGGGGATCTGTAGCTTGAACAAGCTCCCCAGGTGATCTTGATGCAAAGCAGAAGTGGTGAAATAGGTATTTACAGCCAGGTGTGTCTGACTCTGAGCCTCTGTCATCCCACCCCACCCCTGTGAGCCACAACCCTCACCCTCTTTTCCTGCCTATGGAAATAGTGTAAGTTAAAGGGTGCACTATTACCACCAGTTATTTCCAGAAACTTCCCCAAAGTGAATTTCATAATACACTGTGACTGCACCTTCCACAAAGGGCAGATCACTGCCAGTCCTTCCTCCAACAGGGCAAATTCTACATGTACAGTTCACCTCCCAGGGAAGAGGGTCAACACTCCACTGGGGACAGTAAATTACTGTGCTATAATATGCTTCTGATCATTCCAATTCTACCACTCTGTCATTTATCCTACTTCTCATCTGCAAAATGTTCTGCCCCAGTCAGCACTTTCAGAGCTTCATTTGCATTCTGTAGTTAGGAACATGGGGTGTCCAGGACCACAGCCTGCTCCAGAAGGAGACATCAGGCACTGAAGTGCAGTTTGAGTGTTGGAGTTGTACTCTCTTTAATTAGCTCAAAACCAAGTCTCTCCTGATGCCCCCCTGGGGCTCTCGGGGACCCCTCCCTTCTCTGCCTGGATTACCAGCCCAACCAGCCACAGGTAAATCTCACTATATCGGCTCATGTCAGATTCATGTCACTCAGTCTCTGGTTAATTATAAGCCTTATCTTAGAGATGGCAAAGGACCCATCTGTTATACTGGTGGAGTGTATGAGGCAATTTATTGCATCGTGTCACAGGCAAACATTTGTTATTCTCTTTTCCTAATCCTCAGATCCCTCCCCCAAACTGTGTCATCTCTTAACTCCCTTCTGAAAAAGAAAAAATTACATCTTTTCTTAAATGAGTTTTTTTTTTAATTGCACGCCTCAGAACATAGACCTGCTTAGACCCAGTATGGTCTTATTAAAACAACTGAGCCCACTGCAATCTTTTATTCACTCACTGAATACTAAGTCCCAGCCTAAAGGCTCTGGGTGTCTCTATTTTAATTGGCCAGCTGGCGTTGTAGCATAGAGAACACTGGCAGGACCACCAGCGTAAGCTCAAATATTAAAGGCGATGCCCGCAGTTGTGGGGGCTCTTTATTAATGTGAAGTATGTGAAAAGATGAAGCTGTACCACAGACAGCCATTCCCTTGTTGGGTGCTCCATCTTCCTAAACTGTCTTCCCTGAGTTTTCAGCTTCTACCTGTGCTGTCCAATATGGGATCCACTAGCCACACGTGGCTCTTTACACATGAACTGACTAAAATTCAATTTCAGTTCCTCAGCTGCATTAGTCACAGTTCTAGTGCCCAATAGTCACATGTCTGTAGTGGCTACTGTATTCGACGGGGCTACTGTATTGGATGGTAGAACATTTCTGACATAGCTGAAAGTTCTATAAGACCATGCTGCCCTTAGCAGATGTGTGAATTTCAGTGTCTCGGACTGGATTTGGAAGCTGGGAAGCACTATCTCCTATTGCTACAACAGAACGTGGGTAGAGAGGGAACCAGGAGGGAAGATACTTTAGAGCTGGCAGCAGTTTGGAAGAAGATGGCTGTGTCTGGTGGCTGCCAGCACCACCTTTCCTCTGACCCTCAGCAGGAGCAGGGCAGGTGTGCACAGACATCTGACATTTTCTCTTGACCCTGCTCTGTACCCTGAATGCACCTCAGTGAAGCCTTCCTCGGGTATCCATTACTCTAACGTCCTAGAGCTCCTTATACAGAGTGTGTTTGTCTCATCCCATAATTACAATCCTTGTAATTATGGCTCAGCTCTATTGCTGCTGTTGATAATCATCTCCCTGCATTGATAATGGAAGAAAACAGTCAACTTACAGCATTCTTGAAAAAAATATTGTGGGACTTTTGTTTTCTATTCTAAAAGGAAGGAGGGAAATACTGAAGGGAAGGACAGTCCAGAGCATTCTATCACTCATAACAGGGGTTCTCAACATAGGGCCTATGTAGGCTGCACAGCATTTTGTTTTTTGTTTTGTTTTTGTGAGGAAGATTGACCCTGAGCTAACATCTGTGCCAATCTTCCTCTGTTTTATGTGGGATGCTGCCACAGCATGGCTTGATGAGTGGTGCTAGGTCCGTGCCTGGGATCTGAACCTACAAACTCAGGGCTGCGGAAGCAGAGCACGTGAACTGAATCACTATGCAACCGGGCCAGCCCCCTGCATAGCATTTTCACCCAGATGATCCAAATGTGAAAGAGTCCTCTGTGATCACTCTCAGTGTCACTGAGGTGCATGACAATGTCATCCCCCTCCCCTCTTTAGGATATGCTTGACTGGTAAATCCCCTCCTTGAAACTTGTTTGGGGCCCTAAGACTTTGCTACTTGAAGTATGATCCCACAGACCAGCAGATCCTGGTTCCATGGGAGCCTGAGAAATGCAGCACCTCAAGCTCTACTCCAGAATCTGCTTTTTAACAAGACCTCCAGGTAATCTGGAGGCACATTAAGGTTTGAGAACCACCCCCTAGGAAGCAGCCCGATAATAGTATTAATTGCCTACCAGTGGAATTCACAATTTGGTTCCTAAGTAAATGATGGATAGGACCCTTGATCTCACAGAGCTTAAAATTTAATAGCAGAGAAGATGCATTCAATGAAAGGACATATAAGAATAACAGAGCACACAGAGCTGAAAACACGTGTGCATGTTTGTAAGTAGGAGCAGCCATGCAGAAATATGCATTTAGTATCTGAGTGGGAGCTATGTGTAAAGGGGGCTTTGCAGTGGTTAATGTGGAAGAGAGGGAGCTGACGAAGAAGTTCCCTGGGAAAGTTGATCTGAAGCAGTTGGGGGGGAGGGGTGGTGACTGGGGTGGTAGCAATGTGAGGAGAATGCAAGCATGTAAGCTAGAAGGAGTTCACGGTGGGGGGGACGGGATGGTCAAGGGTGGTCATTAGCCTGGCAGGACTGTTACACCCAGCAAGGTAGTGTGTGGAAATTGGGCTTTCCAGAAGACACCACCATTATGATGATGTAAAGGCAACCATGAATCTTGAAATTCCCCAAGTCTGAATGTGGGAAACTGTGCAACCAACTTGGAACTGAGATTTTGTTCTGCTTTCTGCTCGTCTATGCCCCGCCCTCCTTTTAGTGCTCAACAGTTATTAGGCTTAAAGGAAGTCAAAATCAAAGTTAAGGGTAGAAATTTGGAAATGCTCATACACTGCATAAACTCTTATGAAAAAGATAGAGTAGAAATACAAAATCTTAATGTCAGTACAAGGCAAAGCAATGGGGCTACTCAAAGAGGTGTATTTAGATAAATACCACTACACGTATTTGAGGTAAGAACAGATTTTTTCTTCCTCAATATTTTTTTCTTTGATTTAAACTCAAGCTATCCATTACATTTTCCTCCTGTTTCTGTCTGTTCCTGCCCTCCTTTCTTGTTCCTATCCTCCCCCTAGTGAGTTGAATGGTGACACCCCCAAAAGATATGTCCCTGTCACATCCCTTGAATGTGTGAATTTGACTTTATTTGGAGAAAGTTTCTTTGCAGATGTAATTAAGGATCTTGTGATGAGGACGTCATCCTGGATTATCTGAATGGCCCTAAATCCAGCGACAGGTGTCCTTATAAAGGACACACAGAAGAGCAAAACAGAGACAGAGAGGAGAAGACAGAGACAGGAGAGGAGAAGTCAATGTGAAGACAAAGGCAGAGGTTGGAGCGATGCAGTCACGAGGAATGCCAACAGTCACCAGAAGCTGGAAGAAGAGAAGCAATGGAATCTCCCCAAGAACCTCTAGAGGGATGGAGGCCCTGTCGACACCTTAAATTTGGACTTCTCATCTCCAGAACTGTGAGAGGATAAATACGTGTTGTTTTAAGTCGCCAACTTTGTGGTAACTTGTTACAGCAGCCCTAAAAATCTAATACACTCCCTAAATGTTAACAATATATTTCAAATATAAGAATAGCATCTATTTTTTTCTAAGTTTGATCTAAATGTGTAATATGTTAAAACCAGGACTTTAAGCCAAACTGCAAAGTATAAATTTAAGAACAGGGTTAAAAATTACTTCCAAATGGCTCAAGAACACAAAATTGTGCTACACTACTGCCACTTTTGTGTGTGCGTGTGTTGTGTTTGTGTTTTTGTTTTTACGGATGCTGGAATG